TCTGGAATGTTCCATCTATACACAGGGTACAGGGTAAGCCTAGCCCCTGGGTGGTTTGGAATGTCCGACGCACGGCAAATCTGTCAGAAAGGCTTATAGTCCTGCTCCCTGCTACCTGCCCGGCACATGTGTTGAACTTATCATGGCGATTTATGAACAAGAGTTGGGCTCCGACAGAGACGCAAAGATGACACGTGATAACGATATGGGTTTGTATAATTTGATGTAATGAGAGGCACATTCCCAAGAGTACGATTACGAAGCTGATTTATGATTATTTGACATTTGACGTCGTGTTTCTTAGCCCAAAACTTCGCTTGACGGCAGCATGTCGCTTGCTAGATTTCCAATGAGCTTTATTCATAATAACTTGGCAGGATTAACTGAAGTGTTTTGGGATCCCCCAAAATTATATTGACATTGTTATAAAATAGTTGATCCTCATTTTGTTTGTTTTTTCATCAAAATTTGCCATTGGCCATTGGCGTAGCTTAGGGTAACTGGTGCCCCGGGGGTGGGGGGTGGGGTGGGGGTGGTTTCCAATATTTGTGCCACCACATTCAACGAGGAATAAATATATGAAGTTGACCCGAAAAGGCAGCCCCTCCATACAAAGAAAGAAAATAAAAAAACTATAAATACATAAAATCTAGACCTAGGGTCAATTTTCTTTCTTCCTTCTTTACAAGTCTGAATAAATTTCTAACAACGTGTAGCTGAATTAAAAATTTAATTAAGGATAAAATAAATAAAATAAATTTTTGTAAAAATAAATTCAATAAAATAAAAACTAAACTTTAAAAAATTAAAATTGAATATATATATATTTTCCCCCCCAAAAGTATTTAATATCTTAAAGCTTTCACTCAAATAGATCCTACATAAATTGAACATACACACCGGTTGAACGATCACTAGCATGTGCACAGTGAAACTGGTTGAGACGTGCATGTGCCAAACAGTTGCTAAAGGTGAACTGTTTCAGATAGGTGTTTTTACACACACACACACACACACACACACACCAACGAAAAGGAATACTTCAATTAAATTGGTCAACTCCTAAAGCCCTCCCCCCCCCCCAGCCTACGTCGTTGCCCTGTAATCGAATCGTTGGTGTAGCTCTATCTGTCCCCCAGCCTACGTCGTTGCCCTGTAATCGAATTGTTGGTGTAGCTCTATTTGTAGCACACCATGTGCAGCCTCTCCCTTTTTTCCCCCACCATTTGCACGGATCCTGGCTACGCCCTTGGGTCCAGATACCGTACACACGGGTGCCGCCGAAAGGCTTAAAGCGATAACACGGCACACTGGCAACGCTAACAGGGGTAGCCTACAAAGAACGTCTGCTACACACTCACTGCAATGGCCGGACCAGACGTGTGTTCACCACTGCTTAATGTGCATCTCCTGCTCACACGATGTATCCCTGCTTTTTATCTGTGTTAGCGTGCAATTGCAAGTGTATTCGCGAGAGGTGTAAGGTCATTGTGTAACTGTCATCGGCGTGACGTAATGAGATTCGTCATTAGGGGAAAGAACTCGTAACTAAATAGCGCCCCTTCATGTTTGAATTGTCTATTAAAAAAAAATAATTATATGGCTGAAGGATAGCGCAGTGACCGCTGCACCCGACCCCCCCCCCCCCCCCCCCCACACACAACCCAACCACAAAAACCAGAAAAAAAAAGGAAAAAAAAA